CTAAGGAAAGAAACGGAGAGCTCAGTGCACCACCGGTCATGCTCAGGATTCTTCTCATCCCATCTAGGAACAGCCTTCCCTGCAATAAGACTAAGCCCAAACCAGCCCACCCACAGCTCACGTGGGGTCTCCAGCCCAGGCCCTACCTCGGCAGCACAGCCTAGACTATATGCTCCCATGCAGGAAGATGCCTCGCCCCGCTGTGCATAGGCCCATGCTCCCTGCACGCCCCAGCTACAACAGTGGGACACAGACAACTCCCTCCTGCAGCCCAGAGAAAATGGGCCTCTTGGAGCCAGAACCACGTCCAGGGATTTGGACGGCTGGTGCACGGCCTTTTGGCCTATCCCGTCTGCTCCAGCCCCCATGCATGAGGCGGGCGGGGGGGGGGGGGGGGGGGCGGTCCTGCAAATGTTCTGACCCTGGTCCCCACGTGTGGTTAGGGACGGCAGACATCCAGCCACTGCCCAAATCCTCAGCTGAGCCGGGCATTCTCTTACTGATTTAAAGAGCACAAAAGAGACATCTAACCAAGCAGCATCTTTAACCCCCTCCCTTCTACGCCAGGCCCCTCCACGCTGGGGTCTGGGACCCACTGCGCACAAACAGGCCAGTGGAGATGCTCTCCTTGACCTTCAGGGTCTCCTCATCCTCCTGCCTCACACACTAGCTGTCTGGAAAGAATTCAGCCCTCTGCTCACATACCACATTCCGGAACCCTCCTTAGTTGAGTCTTAGGCCAGCTGTGCTGGGCCTGAACCACAAAGTTCGCAGAACCACTGCTGCTGGCTGCACAGGAAGCGTGGCACAGTCCCCCACAGCCACACCCAGGGCCCCCCCTGCCCCCGATGAAGGAAGCACTCAGTCCTGGGGGTGCCAGCTCGCACTGCTCCCTGCTGTGACTCCAGCATCGCAGCTCGGGCTCAGGGGCCCCACAGAGGTGCTCTCCCGGCCAGGACTTCAGGGGGAAAGTGACAGCAGAGTTCAGCCAGTAAACAAGAGAAGCCCTCTGGGGCAGATTCGTCTGCGTCCGCGGTGCTGCCACATCCTGTCGCGGTACTGCTGAGCCAAATGTCAGCAGCGCCCCAGCGATGATCCATAAACCAAAATAAAGCAGACAGGAAGCAACACGCTGACAGGGGAAGCTGGAATTCCTCAGGCAGCGTCGTGTCATCAACAACTGACACTCAGGCACTGGTGCCTGGCTGTGTTCGTGGCCCTCTTCACGTGGGAACGGACTGGAATGTGGAGCGTGCCTGGGGCAGGGAGGTCAGTGGGCAGGAGGGACCCTGAAGGCAGGCAACAGGGGTCTCAGAAGTCCTCTCATCTGGCACATCTACGGCACTAACGTGTAACTCACTCCAGGCACTGATCCTGTTGTGGGGGACTTGCACATCACCCTCCCAAGATAGAAGTGGAAGAAAGCAAATCTCTCCAGATAAACCCAGGAAATCCCCATATAGCCTTCCAGCCCACTCCACAATCTGCATTTCATTTCCCTCCCCAGCTCTCGACCCAGCTGGAAAGGGAGACTCCTCCAGGTGACACCGCCTGAATGGCAGGCCCTGGTAGCCAGTTCTCAATGGAAGGAGGGGGTTGTGGCGGCTCCGGTGTCACCTGGCCCTGAGGAAGCCCTGGGCCAGAGCACAGTCACTCGCAGACAGAAGCACACACAAACACACACATGCACACACATCCACCTACAGAGATGTGTGCACACACAAGAACAACACAGATGTATGCACACACACACGCCAGCCAGCAGACGGAGGGAGCCCCATGGCCCGGGGGGGGGGGGGGGCAGTGGAAGAGCTTTATTTATTCAGGAAAGCAAGTTTCTGGGTGCAGCAGCTGGGGGAGACAGAGCACCCTGAGGCCGTGCATTTGGCAACTGAAATGCACTATCCAGAGTCCCCACGGGAGTGCACGCACCCACACACACACACAGGCACAAGCTCCTAGCGGACAACCGCTTCCTGCCTTGCACCGCACTGCCCGGGGCCTGAGGAGGCGCACGGGGCCCGGCTCTGCCCAGCGAGGTGGGGAGGGTCGAGGGGGAGGATGGCCATCCCCGGGGGAGGTGGGGAGGGTCGATGAGGAGGATCGCGGTCCGGGGGGGAGGTGGGGAGGGTCGAGGGGATTGGCCAGCCTTCCGGGAGGTAGGCGGAGAGGGTCGAGGGGGAGGACTGCCACCCCCGGGGGAGGTGAGGAGGGTCGAGGGGGAGGTGAGAGGGTCGAGGGGGAGGACGGCCTTCCGGGGGGAGGCGGAGAGGGCTGAGGGGGAGGACGGTCGTCCCCGGGGGAGGCGGGGAGGGTCGAGGGGGAGGACGGCCGTCCCGGGCGGAGGAGGGGAGGGTTGAAGTGGAGCGCGCAGCGAAGGAGGCGCCCAGCGCTGGGGTCGGGGGCAGAGCGCCCGCCCGAGCCCCCGTGAGGACCCGCCCCGGGCCCCGGCGCTCACCGATCTTGATCTTCACGCTCTGGAAGACCCGGAGCCCCTCTTCCTCCACCGCCATGCTTGCCCGGAACTGGCGCCGAGCCCCGCAAGCAGCCGGAGCCCAGCGGCCGAGCTCCCGGCTCTGCGTCCGACCCCGCGCCCGGCCCGCGGTGGCCCCGCCCACGGGCCCGCCCACGCACACTCCATTGGCTGGAGGCGGGGGCGGGGGCGGAGCGTCCCCGCCCACAGCTTTGTCGAGCTTTCCGTTGGCCGAGGCCCGCAGAGGGGCGGGGGCTGGACAGTTCCGCCCACAGCACAACCCCAACTACCCATTGGCTGAGGGTTAGGAGGCGGGAGCGAGGTGGCTACGCCCACAGTCCAACTCCGTCTCCTCATTGGCCGAGGTCTGGAGAGGGGCGGGGTCGGCCTCAAAGGAAGGATCGGAAGGGACCCCGCCGGGAGCCGCTCACCGCGGAGAGGGCACACGGCAGGGGGACCGGGCCGAGGGACCCCGTGGGGGCAGGCGGGGAGCTCAGCACGGGCCACCGGATGCGGGGCGTGAGAGGGACCCAGCGGGGGCAGGGGGGTAACTGAGCACAGGGGACCAGGCGGGCGGCGGGGAGAACATGGCGAGGGGAGGACCCGGCGGGGGCGCGGGAGGGGACGTGGGGCGGGGAGCAGGGAACGGGGGAGGGGCGGGGGGGCCGACTCCTGGAGCTGCCTGGCCTGCGAGGGCGGCCTTAGCGTAGGTCCTGGCGCCCACGCCCCTGCCGTCCCGTGTTGCCGACAGTCCCACGTTGCTGACCGCCCAGCTCCGGCGAGATCTGGGGCCAGGGGCGCCCTGTGCCCCCTCCCCTCCCTCCGTTTTCTTACACTGTGAGGCTCTGTATGATTAACTCGGGTTTGAGATTTAACACTAGCACATGCACAGAGTTTTAAGAAATTCAAACCCGAAGGTATCAAAGGAAAAGAATCACCTGGCGGGACCCAGCCCTCGCAGTGGTCCAGAGAAGGCCAGCTGCAGGGGATGGAGAAGCAGGAGGTGACCTGAGAGACAGGGCAGCCATGGGGTCTGGAGAAGCACGCAGTCTGGAGGTTCTGCGTGTCAGCCTCAGCTCCCCATGCCTGCCATCTGCCCTCCTGCTCCTCTGCTGTCCACTGGCCTTGGCCACCCTGGCTCCCAGGCTGCCCTAGCTCCCAGCGCAGTGGCTGCTCACACAAGCCAAGTGCCCTGGGTCTGCCCTCCTGACCCTCAGGCCTCTGTGGGGTTCCTTCCTTGCCTCAGGTATGGTCTGTGTCTCCCCTGACTTCCCCCCTCCCCCATCTGGGTAGCCCACACACACCCTGCACACACCAGAACACAAGCTTCCTGAAGACAAGGCCTGGTTTTTCACTGTTTTATCCTCATTTCCTAAAAAAAAGGCTTAGGTACACGTGAAAAGGGTTACTAAGCATTCTTCACCGTGGCTACCTGAGTCTCCTTCCAGGTCCTCGTCACCTGCTGGACTTCATCCCGTCAAGACCTCCATACATGGTGTTTACTGCGAGTTTAACATGCAAGTTAGGACAGCAGCTTTTCCTTGGCTCAAACTCCACCGTTGCTGCCTCTAACTCTGAGACCTCAGAGGCTTCTGTAGGGTGTGCTGTCGTGCGCCATCCAGATGCCCCCAGTCCCCAAGACCAAGGCTCTGCCTCCATCAAGACAACTGACCAGCAGCCTCAGCTGCTGAGCATCTCGGAGGGTCAGCCGAGGCCCCGCAGACCTGCACAGTGGTCAAGATACTCCTCTGCCCGATCCTTCTTCCCTCCCATGCTCACAGGACTTTTCTTCCGAGAACACTCCCAATAACCTCTTGCACACAAACCTCTGCTTCAGAGTTTGTGTCCAGGGGAGCCCAGCAGAAGATGGTGGGGCCAGGAGTGTTCCAGGAGCAGCCTGTATGGTGGGGTTGAGCACAGAATGCCAAGTGGCACATCACTGGTGGCACCACAGCCCTGCCAGGCAGTAGTAGCACTGAGCCAGGGTGGAAGCCCAATGAAAGAAACACACTGCTGGGTGCCGCATCCAGGGCATCGGAGTGGCTGGGAAGAGCAGCAACCATCTGCATTACAGAATCAGGCGGCTCTTGCCAAGAACAAGGCAATGAAAAGATCTCCAATTTTTAAAAAAAGTGACAAAAAGAGGGCTTCCTTGGTGCCATATAGACACTCTCCTCTCCTGCAGCCAGAGAACCAAAAAGAGCCGTGGATCAAGACTCAGTCCTAAAGACAGCAGCCCTCAACCCAAGGGAGGCTGCTGCCCAATGGCAGGACCTGGTTGGGAAGAAGGGAGACCCTGAGGCTTCAGGGAGGGTCATCTGATCAATACACTCAAATTCTTGAACCTCAGGTTTCCCTACATCTTCTGGACCCGAAGAGGTGTCCTTCTTCTCCCTGTTGAAGGCAAATGCTCTATCTGTGCTGGAACATGACGCAGAGATGTCTGTATGATGACACGGATTCCCCAGTGATCTGCTCCAGCTCTGCTCCTCCATGACATCAGTGTCACGCAGCTGGAGAAGCTCAGGGTCTGACGAGGAAGGAAGGACCTGTCAGCAAACGAGCGTCAGGACCCAGGAAACATGTACCAGCAGGAGCTGGGAGAGTGCATGCAGAACCAGATCCAGAGGACACTGGATTTGGGGAGGCAGAACACAAAGGTTGATCAGGTTAGGCTTTATTTATATGGGATCATTCAACCATGATAGGGGATTTGCTACTCTGGCAAGTACCCCCATGCCACTAGTATGGGCTTTGGAAGCCTGTAAAAAGCAATGCCCCACACTAAACGAGGTGGAAATGCCAAATGGTCACGGCAGACCAAAGGCTTGGAGAAGTGGCATGGAAGAGTAAACATGCTCCACAGAGCCCAGAGGGCACCCTGTTTGCAAACGTAGTCCGGAGACCCTCAGCTGTAGCTGGCCACTGTGGAACTGGGCTGAGGGTGGAGAAGCCATTCACTGGGCTCCTGACAGCAATGAGGGTGATCGGATGGGGACATAGTGGAGGCCAGGTGGTGACGTTTAGCCATCAGAAGCAAGGTGGTTGCAATTATGGCAACAAGCAGCCCCAGCACCCTGAACTGCAGAGAGCTGTAGAGCAGGCCAGCCGAGCACCATGTGGGGGCAGGACAGAGAGCCTGCCAGCAAGGGTATCACTCAGTTTATACAACCAAAGGAAGTCAAAGATGGGTATTGGGAGGCTGAAGAAAGTGTCCCAATAAAATATCTCAATCCCTTGCCCAGTTTCCATCCCCAGAACCCACTGACTGGAAGAGAGGACCCATTCAAGTGCATGTGTAAGGATTCCCCTAGAACTCCCCCAAGGGGCCTGCACACCTGGACATGTCAAGGCCTCTTAGGCCCAGGGTCTGAGGTGACATTGGTACCCAGGGACCCAAAAGGTCATCATGCCCCTGTCAGAGCGGGACTCGTGAGGCCCAGGAAATAAATGCATCCTGGCCCAGGAGTGGCTCACAGTGGGTCCAGTGTATCCAAGTGCTCACCTCCCATGCCCCCAAAGGAAAACTGGTGTGGACATGTGTGACAGTTGTCAGAATACCCATCTGGGTTCCTTGGTTGTGGGTTAAGAGCCACCCAAGCAGGGAAGGCCGAGAGGCAGCCGAGATGGAAAATCACGAACAGTGATGCATCCTGGGGGAAAGACAGAGATGGAGGCTGCCCTTAAAGACCTAGAGGGTCATTTAACTCACCAGTCCCACCACTGACCCCAGATGGGCTCTGGAGGATGACGGTAGACCACCACAAACTCAACCACACAGGAGCCTCCATTGCACTGCTGTGCCAGGTGTGGTGCCACTGCCAGGCCACATCAGCACAGCCTCTGGCCTGTGGCGTCCGGCCATGGAGCTGACAAATCCACTCTTCTCCATCCCAAGTCAGGAGATTCGGAAGCAGTTTACACCACACATCACAGACTAGCACACTTATGACCTCGCGCCATCGTTGGGCTTTCCTGCCCTCGGTCAGAATATCGTCCAGACAGCTGACTACCTGGGTGTTTGCACAACATTGACTTGGTTTGCTGTACTGATCGGGCCAGATGAGCAAGAAGTTGGCAGTTCATCGGAGGCTTTGATAACACATCAGTGCTCTGAGACACATATGCTCAGAGGGAGGAAACAAATCTATGAAGACTCAGGGCTCCCCCATCAGTGGGCAAGGTGCCTTGTGAGCACGGGCCTCTCTTTCCCTGTGCAGCAGTTTCCAGGACCCCTCCCTCAACACACTCAGCCTCCACAGAGCTGTGCAAGCACTGTGCCTCCTCAGATCCGCATTCTGCACAGAGGAATTGATCATTCATTTTCTGACTTAGAATCTGTTCCCCTAGAGCTGTGATAATAAGAGAGGAAAATATTGAGGGATTAAAGGAGAAGGCGACAACGTCATAGAAAGAACCTCTAATCCCTTCTGTATTATAACTCACTGTTACCTTTTCTCTCTTTGACAGAATTCTCTTCTGCACTCCCCTAAAAGGACGTTTGCAGTCTCAGTGACTCACCTTTGCTGCCGTGCTTCAGTGCCTGGCACATAGTAAAATCTCAACTAGTACCTGTGGAATGAGTGTGGTGGTTTCTCCTGTTGTCTCACAAAAAAGCTAGGAATATAACATTCAATCAGAATTCTGATACAATCTATTCAGACACCTGGGCGTCAAAGAATGGGGCTCTGCAGTGACTGACAGCTTGGAGAGGAAGTGCGCAAAGTCCAGAGAGATGAGTCACAGCACACCCTCGGTAAGCTTTCTGCGTATTAGCTGTTTGGGCTACGCAGAGGGGAGAAGCTGAATAGTGGCCGCATCCACATGAAGCTGCCACTGCTTGTGCACAGGAGGCCCAGTACTCTGGGGGCGAGGGCGCCATGCAGCCACACTCCACCTGTCCACTGAAGGAGGGCGGCGGAAGGCCTCACTGGTGCGCCCATCGCTGGAGGGTGGGGGCTGCACTGCCTCCCTGCTCGCATCCAGCGCAGAGCTGTGTGCTTGGAGACATGAGAGCGCACCATCGCTCTGGCGAAGCTGAGTGCCCCAGTGTCCCCAGTGTCTCTCCCGCTGCGGATGGAGGCCTCGTTCTGAAACCCAGAGAGAAGCTGGGGTGGCCTGGCCCTGGTAGCGGCCTGCAGGAGGCTGCCTGGAAGCGGCTGGGTCTGCAGCCATCTTCCTGAGAGTGGGAAGTAAATTCTGTGTATGAAGCCAGCAAGATCTGGGAACCATTGGCACAGCCCACACCTGTCCTGCCCTCACGATAACCCCGTGGCAGCGTTTGCACTGGTGCTGATTAGCATTGGTGGGTCTGCCAGTTGGAGTCAATGGGCAACGTCGCCCCACACAGCCGATGGTGCTGAGACCTCGACTGCTGATTATGAAGAATTTTCCCTCAAACTATTTGGTTTTTATCATAATAAAGTTTAACTTGTTACTTTTGACAATGTTAAGCCAAATATCAAGGTGCTTTTTGAAGACACTCTTGAAATCAGCAATTGCTAGACTCAGAATCTCTTCTTGGCTATGACAGGAAGCTATGTATTTTTTTTTTCTTCTAGAACCTCCATCAAATTATCCAGGAGGCAAAGGAGAGAGGCAGCTGATTCCCGCCACTGGGGCTGGGACTTGCTGTGCGGACTCTGCTCTGACTCTCGATTCTCACGGCACAGGCTCCACGGGAGCAAGGGCCCGGGAGCCGTGGGAAGCCTGCGTGGGACCCGCAGACCCCTGTCCAGGGAACCACGTGACATGCACAGCAGCGGGTCCCGAACTGTCCTCAGCACCATGGCAACCAGGAGCAAGGTTTCTCAGCAGCCTGGGAGGCTGGTCCTTCAGCAAACATCAGACTACAAGACCCACAGAAGAGCAAAGAAACTTCAAAGGGGAAGACATACTTGCGTGCCCAGACCACAACACAAGTATGTTTATTTCTGTTTGTTTCCTTCAAGGTTTTATGAATATTTGTACCCAGTTTTACACAGCGGCCATACAATGTGGGTGACTTACTCTGCCTACCGAGTCATTTGTTTAGCAGACCTGTACTGAGCACCTGGCATGTGTGCCGCACTTGTGAGCTCCTGTGGGAACATCAGAAAAATACAACACACGCGCCCACCCAGGGGTGGCCAGCAAGGAACCAGGGTGCTTGCCACCCCGCAGCTCTCTACCTCCTGTGTGAGCTCAGTTCACAACGGTGCAGCAGCAGAGACAGAGGAGGCCAAGCTGGGCTCCAAGGTGCAGGTGCAATGGCAGCACTGCACGGACACTGAGAGCCCATTTCTGAGGCTTCGGTGGCTCCTCGAGGCTGAAGAGCCACCTGTCACGGCCCCGCCCAGTACTGCCCTCGCCCTTCACGCAGGCTGGGCTGTCATTACTCCCAGCTTCCGGGGTGTGGGTGACACAGAAGGGAGGGAGGGTGGCAGCTGCTGAAGAGGAAATGTGCCAGGTTGTGCCTCAGAGGGGGCCAGCGACAGCATGAGGCAGAGGGCAAAGCTGGGCGCTGGGGCCCACACGGCCCCTGTGGGCATTGACAAATCTCATTTAACCGTATGAAAATGATTGACTGACACTGCTGTTACCACGCCTAGTGTGTGACACACCACTTAAATTAGGTCCTGTTCCTTCCATGTAGTTCCATGTGAACACACTCTTTCCCCCTGATCATCTCTGCGTCTCCATCTGTAACACGGGACGGCGGCTGTGGGGCCCATGAGGGGCGGGCTGTGTGCGGAACAGCAGTCCGGCCAGAGTACAGAGAACCAGAAGCGGTCAGTTCTGGTGGCATTTCACGCTCTGCCCCCAGGGCTTTTCCTCCCACACCCTCTGAGTGACAGCCTGGACCTGGCTTTCAGTGGGGGAGAACCAGGGAGGCAGACACAGCCCCAGGATCTCAGGATGCCATCAGTGTGGCTCCCTGGCCAGGCCTCCACCCCCCTAAACATGACGTGGTGCTTCTTCAGTCCTTCTCTGGGGTGCTTGCAGGGAGGCCTCGGTGACCTGAGGTGACGGGGGCCCATGTTCGCACTGAGATCCCCTCTGGAGGAAGAAATGCCCCCGACGACACCAGGCGCGCAGAACCACCTGTGAGAGAAGCCGCACAGAGGCAGCCTCCACCCCTTCCTTCGACAGGCAGACGCTGAGCACACTCTGCTCAGCAACAGATGGCCACAGGCTCCTGACACACGACCCCGGCCGGCCTCAGGCTGAGAGGAAAGCCTGTCACACACACCGCATGACTCCATTTACACAGCATTCTTAGAACAACAAATTGTAGAGATGGAGAGTGGACGGTGGGGGCCAGGGAAGAGGGGAGGTGGCTGTGGCTGTGACGAGTCCACAGGAGGGCCCCTGTTGGACAGAGATGTTCCATCTTGGCAGTGGTGGTGGCCACACGAATCCATACGTGTGCTAGAATTGCACAGATCAAGACATGCACACGAATGCATGTAGAACCAGTGTGAGCTGAGTGAGATGGGTGGGCTGAGTCTGTGTGGTCTCCCAGCTGTGATCTGATACCACAGTCACCGCAGCCCTGCAAGATGCCACCACTGAAGGACACCGGGTAGAGGGCACACGGCATCTCTGTGTTAGTCCTTATGATTGCATGCAGAACTGCAATTATCTAAAAATAAAAATGTTTTTAAAAGACCGTAGGGTGGACCTGCTGTTCCTGCTGCACCTGCACATGGGCCGCATCCTCTCCTAGGAGGCTGCAATGTGGCTACCCACAGGAAGGGCGCGACCTCGTGTTTACTCACCTTGCCCTTCGAGGAACCAACCCTTGTTGTTGTGAGAGGAAGCCGAGGCCAGAAGAAACCTCAAGGTCCCCCTCGCAAGCACCGTGGAGGACACCCAACCGCAGCCCTGAAGGTGCGACTGGCACCTGCAGCCCCAGGAGCCGCAGGGCAGGCTGGGCCACGCTGGGCCCTCCTCTCCAGCGTCTCCTCCTGACTCTCCTCAGCCTCCAGGCCTCGTGGAGCTGCATCTCCCTCAGGAAGTGGCCCAGCCGAGCTCTCGACTCTGGGACTTTGGTCCTGTTGACAGGGGTGGAGCCCTCCTGACTGCCTCTCAAACCAGCATCGGGCAGAAGAGCAGCTTCCAGCTTCCAGAACGGCTCCAACTTCCTATTAAAAGACCCACAAAAGTAAATACATTTTAGGTCACGACCTGATCCTCACACAAATTTTACAAAACAGTACTCATCCTGACTAGGTGGAACGTGCTGTGATTTTATAGTCTATTCTAGCTTCACTTAAACTAATCTGGTTTATTTGACTTTTAAAATTGGTTTCGGGCCCCTCAGTTACATAGTGAGCCACTAGTGTGCTGGAGGTACTGGCTCACCAGATCCAACCAGTAAATTGTCAGGATTGGTTGTTAACAGAACCATTGTTAAGTTAAATTGTATAAGCTTTCCAAGTTTATGAAATTATAGGGGCCCGTGCTCTTGAGGTTATCAGTGTCTATTGTGTGGCGGAAACACCTTTCAATGACCTGCCCTTTATGTCTCTTCCCAGCTCAGAGCGTCTGCACCACGGGGACCAGCAGCCTCAACACAGCCCCGCTCTCTCCAGCCGGTTGTTAAGCCTTTCCCAGCAGGCAGCTGGTTGCGACCTGCAGTGTGAAATGCCCTGTTCTGGTTGATGCCCCTCACCTGTCTCACCCACCTTTGTCTTTAGGTGAAGAGACTAAAGCGAGGTTGGGGAGAGCCTGGGACCCAGGACGAGTTGGGGTCCAGCTGGGAGAGGTACCCTGTCTTCTGAGTCTGGGTCCAATGCTGTCACACCCACAAAGTGCCCCCTGCCACCTCTCCCTCCCTGGAGGTGAGGACTGTCTGTACATAGCGGGCGTGAGGCTCCAGGGCTGGAGGCAGAACCCTGCCTTCTGGGCTGTGGCCCTCCAGAGATGTGGACATGGGGCAGGCGCCTGCTCCAGGCCCGTTCACTCTCCCGCACAGCCCAGGACCCACGCAGCCCAACGCTGGTCTGCTTGGTCGAGCAACTGGTGCTCAGCTGGGCGGGTCTGGGCCAGGGCAGGCAGGGGCAGGGATCCGGCCAGCTCTGGGGAGCTGTGGGGTCATGGTTTCTGCCCGTTCTGCTGGTGGGCGTGCTTCCCCTACACTCACGCAGGGTACCTTGTGTCGGAGGCAGGGGAAGAGTCGAGGGTGCACGCAGGAACAGGAGCCCTCAGGGCCGTTCCTCCCAGGCCGTCCGGTGGAGCATCTGATGGGAACTGCTTGCAGTCCGTGTGGCCGCACGCAAGGCCCTCGCTTCCTGGACAAAGTGCCTGTGAGCAGCCTTCCAAAGCGCTACTTTCCCAACACCAGTTTCAGTCACTGCGAAGCGACATCACGGGAAGTTCGAGGAAGGCCCGATGCTCCTGCCTCTCTCCGCGCACGCCATCGTCACGTCGTGATGGAGGTGCTGACAACAGGACTCCACCCCTCCCTCCAGAACACCGTGTCCCTCCACATTTCACTGTGTGGGCACGGAGGCCCCGCAGGTTTGCCCTGGGCCATGGGACCGCCCAGCTGGGCCCCGTGGGCTCCTGTGTATGTGAGGGGACCAGGTAAAGGAGGCCACAGTCTCACACCCCATCAGAGCCCCCTGCATCGTTCAGGTCACACGACAGCAGGCACAATTAGGGGCCCTCTTTCCCCTGGAGGAAGCACCGTGCGAGCAGCAATGTGCCCCTAATGAGGACATGGCCCTGACGACGCCAGCACAGACAAGGCCCATCACCCTGTGGTCCAGCCTTCATCTCTGCCTCTCCTACTCGATGGACCGCGGCAGAGACAGCAGCTTCGAGCAGCCTGGGCAGGAGGAGGAAAGGCGGCTGGAGGACCCGTCAGACAGACGGGCCCTGGGCTGAAACGTACTTTGGACTCCCGGCTGGATTATCATCTGCAATTCTAGCTAAACTCTGGCTTATGCGGTCGGAGGGACTCAGAATATAAATTTATGGAGATAAAGTCGCTAACTCCTGGGATGTCCCCTGATCCTACACCCACTCTGAAGCTACCTTTGAAGTAAAGATGTGGAGTCGTAGGAGAGGTCTCCGTCTCATTAAGGTGGTTCTTTAAAACCAGATTTCTATTTCACCAGGCTAGAAGTGTAGGGCCAATCAGAGCGTGGTGAGCAGGACCCACCACCACGGGAATGACCTCTATTCCTTACTCCGCAGGGAGAGCCGCCTTCTGGGACCTGGACTCAGGCATGCGACTGCTCTGCTCACACCCCGGACTGGAGTCGGTCTAAAATCCCAAACCCCACCATGCAAACAAGCCCCTGTGTGATCCAGCTCTGCTATCCTCCGACCTTGCCTCCCACCTGTATGTTTCTCACCCTCCAGGCCCCTGGGCCTCCTTGCTGGTCTCTGCCCTGGATGGTTCTGCCCAGGACACGCACCTGTTGCTCTCTTCTTCCTTTGGGACTTTGCTCCAGTGACGCTTGTCAGGGACGTTTCTCTGAATACCTTACATCAAATAACTGTCCTCCCCTCCTCCCTCACCCTCTGTCTCTTCCCTCTGCTTTGGTCCTCTTCGTAGCATTTATCGCTACCTGACCTGTGCTATGCATAATCAATTGCTAATTGTCTGTCTCTCCTGACTTGGTGGAGTCAAGATACCTATCTAGGACTCTGAACCATAAACAGAACACTCATCTGCATCCAGATGATGCTTTTATAGTTTTTTTCTTTTTCTCAAATCCTTGAGAATCTGCTCCGTGGATCCTACTACGTGCATCTACCTAGTAGTAAGAATGGCAGCGTTGGCGGTGGTGGCCACTGCACCTGCTGTTAGCTGCACCAGGCTGGGACGTCACTCTCCCTCGCTGGACTCTCCCAGCAAGGAGTTACATTCCATACAAGCCCTGCTTCATGTAAGCGCAGAAGCAGAGGTTCGGTTACTTTCCCAAAGCCGCACAGCGAGTCTCTGAGCTTTTAAGCAGCAGTTCTTCATTGTAAAAGGAAAAAGTCCAGTCTCCACTGGCACCTTTCCACTCACTCCGAGAATCCAAAGTCAGGCTTTTTGAACCTCGTTCACTGTAGTTTTTAAACTACGGCGAATACAACTCTGAAGACAGAAAGGACTGAAACTCAGGCTGCTGGGTCCTGAGCCCAGCTTCCAGAGTGAGCAACGCCTGCTGGGTCTATAGGCCACCCGGACGGGAGTGAGAGCCTGAGCTGGTGACTCAGCCGTCGCTTCCTTCCTGCTTTTGGAGGAGGGCTTCCCGCAAGGGGCGCAGGGAGGATAGCAGCTCCAGCCGCCTCAGGCCGGTTCCAGAGCCATTGGGCAAGCCCTCCACTCCTGGTCAATGGCCAAGGCCCACTGTGAGCAGAGTGTCCAGGATCCCGGGACTTCCCGTCGGGGGTTGGCAGGTGTTCAGGAGATGGGAAGCCGCCAGCACCATTTCTGAACCAACCCGGTGGGAACCTTCTGGTGGATTTCCCCAAATTCCTTTCCAGCCCTCAACGCTGAGTTTAAAAAGGCAGTTGAGAAGTCCAGGCAGGAAACACACAGATTGATTTTCTTTAACTCTTAAGTGGGTTTAAGGCAGAGAGCTGAGAAAAGTAAGCAGAAGCAACTGCTCGAGCTCAGAACAAGAATCTGGCGTTGACATTTTGTTCCTGGCTCTATCTTGACTTGCTAAGTGTGTGTTAGCGTCGTCTGTGTCTTGGTTTCCCATGAAATAATCAGAAATACAAAGAACGACTGTAGGGTATTTTGAAATCCCGTTTCAAAAGGACAGTGTTTGGTTCTTCTTTTTTGAGACGATCTTGTACTTTCGTTTCATCTTTGTTTTCATTTTTTTGTTCTTCTCTAAACTAAATGCCAGCGTTTAAACTATGTATAAACAGGCACGATTGTGTAATTATCAGCACGAAACTCTCTCAAGATAGACTCAGATATTCAAAGGCTTTTGCACTAACAGAATTGTTTTAAACTCTCGACCATGTTCACAATGCCCTTGAAAGCCTGGCTTTTCTATGAGACTTTCAGAGCTAATTGGCAAGGCCCAGCACAACCCAGGGCACTGGTGAGGATGGCCAGCTATATTTAACTTCCTGGGACGATAGTGAAATGCTTCATTCCTGGCTAAGTTCTGAGACAAGTTACAAGACAATCTATTCAAAACTCTGAGAGGCCCTCGTCACTGCTAATCCCAATGCCCACTTGTCTCCAGAATCTGGGAAACAGCCAGAGTAGCCGAGGTTTCCCAGGGTCAGTGCACAGCAGGCACCGGGTACATTCCATGTGAGGTGGGACTCGCACAGTTTCCATCTGGCTTGATGGGCTGCTGTGACCGACTAGGTTTCCTTCGTTGGCTTGTGGGAGAGGTCGGGGCTCAGGGCCCATGTCGCCTCCATTCTGCTGCCCGCAGCTCATGCTCAGAGTGGCCCCACAACCATTGGTCCTACTGCTTTTGCTAAAGATCCCCAAGACTACAGACAGTCACACATGGGAGTTGCCAAGTCGATACCACGTGGGGCAATTTCTCAGGTAGCAGAAAACTTACACTGTGTGCTTTTTCTTCTAAGGCAACTGTGAAATAATGGGGCTATAACAAAAATTTATAGGGTCACTGTTTTTACTTTGCCTCCAGTTTTCTCCTTAAGAAATAGAAGGAGATTGCAGTTTTGGTTACACACACTCATCACTAAATTGTTGTATTTTCTTCTCAGTCTCGTGAAGGCATCTCATAGACTTTCACCAGGATGGATGATGTTGGCATAGCACCACAAAGCACAGTGAGTGAAAAACGTGATGGAGGAAACAGGTGCTGAATTTCAGAATGTCACCCCTTTTTTTTTCCTCCTCAAAAAATCTGTGCTTACTAGTCTCAGTGTTACTGGAGCACAAGCGAGTATGCTTTCTAATTTCACACGACTGCACCCAACTACTAATTATGCCCATTACCAGTTCTCTTCATCACTGCTGAAGGCATAATTTGACTGCAAGTGCTTTGCAGATAATGACACCTTGTGTTCCAGTAGCTGAGTCAACGCTTGGGTTTCCTCAGATTTCTAACAGGGGTGATTAGCAAGTGCCACCTGCTGGAAATCAGGACGATGTCCCCACGTGCAAGGAGGAGCCAGGAAGGCCCTCTTCAGAGGAGCCCTCACAAAGAGGCCCCTGAGTCTGGGCAGGCCTGGGGCTGAGTCGGACCCCCCTCGCCTGGGGAGCTGGTGGTCAGACCACAGGTCCACTGGCCAGCGGGAGCTGTTCCAGATCTCACCCAGCCGCTGGGTCACACAGGTGACTGCTCAGCTCGAGTCCTCCCTGGGCCCTCACCAACTGGCCTGGACCCCACACCTCCTGGACTGGGGCTCAACCCTCAGCAGCATCGTCATGGCTGAAGGGCCAGTTGAAAGCAGCTGACGGGTCCACTCCCCGAGGCTCTGATTCAGCGGGTCCATGGCAGAATTCACCCAGAATTTGCTTTTCTATCAAATTCCCAAATGATGTTTCCCTGTTGTTCCCGGAATGGAGTCTACCAGAGACGATGGGGTTCTGGGAACATGGCACTTCAGTTCAAAGACGGGGCAAACCGGACAGGTCGTTTCCCTGGGGACTGCACTCTGAGAACCCTGACCTGAAAGATCTACCCCATGATGGAGTCATACTTCTGATACTAATTGTTGAGAATTTTGTATTTTTATTGCAGACTTCCTCCTCTGAGATGTAAATGCACGAGGGAGGTAAGGGAATACCTAAGTCCCAAACACCTAATCTGGATTTGTTTACAAGAAATTTTCTTTTATAAAGAGAAATTTTCAAAGAGGTAGCCATTCAAATAGGAAAAAAAACTTCAAGAGATCATTGTGCATCCGAGCTAGAGGCGAGTTTTATATGTTTCTTTAGGTCTTAGCTCTAAACTTTATAAAAGGTTGTGTTCTTCTCTCATGTCAGTACGCAGAACCGTTTCCACATCCTGATTTTATGCACCAAACAGCTCCAGCTTTGTTCATTAAATTTTTAACAAAACCTCTCAATCAGTTATATAACAGCCCCGCACACCTAGGGCTTAACGTGGCTGCATCATGGTCCTGGTTCTGAGGCTGGCGGGCGGTTGTCCTGGTGGCTGGGGCTGGTAGTCTCACTGGTGTGCATGGAGTGGCCAGTGGCTCCTGCCTCTCGCTCATGTATTCTCAGGCCAGCAAACAGGCTTCTTCACGCGGTGGTGAGATGTGCCCTACAGCAAGAGCAGCAACCCCAAGATCGTGCACTCGTCAAGCATCTGCTCATGTCCCATTGGTCAAACAAGCCAAGTGGCCGTGCCCAGCAACAGCATGCAGAGGGCCCACAGGCTCAGAAGCTTGCCAGCATGCAGGCTGATCAATCTCACTGTTTTTTTCAACAAAATCTCATTGTTTCTGAATTGTCTTTATAGTAACCTGTGAGAAATAGGAACGGCTGACTGGGAGAGCCTCACCAAGTGTCCTGCTGACAAGTCTTCTCAAGCTCCAGATTGTGGGGGCCAGCCGGCTTGCCCAGGGCTGTCCCAGTTCCAGCATCCAAAGAAACCCCTTGGTCCTGGGCAGACTGAGATAGCTGGTCACCCTAGAATCCCCCATGAGATCTGAGACACTGCCACCCATTTCACAGTTGAGGCTGTCATGATTGGGAGCTCACGGCAGCTCCTGGAGGTGAGCTCGTTAAGTGGGCAGTGGGGCTGAGTTTTGACACCGGAGTCCAGCCTCTGAGCCACAGCTGCCACACTGCCTCGTTTCGACGGCCGAGGGCACATCTAACTTTGGGGTGGGTGCCATAGTCCTGTCTGAATCACATGCTTCATTTAAAATAATGATCCAAGATTACTTTGGTCTGTGTTGAAAAATAAAATTCAAATTCACCTTCAAGGCAGACCTGCCATATTAAAGGACATTGAAAGCGTGAGCCGGGGCTGTGAGGTGGAAAGACTCTGACAGCAGCGGCGTTGCGCTCATGGTCTCCTACTTGGTGTCGGTGCAGTGTGAACAAAAATGGTCAGGCCACCCTCCCCAGGCACACATCCAGTGCTGCGCCTGCACTCTGCGGGCAGTGGCTGACCACGCGTGCAGGTGCCCTCTGAGGCACTCACACGCGTTGTCACTCAAGTCTATGATCTCGTGAATTAGATGTTGTGGCTGGCATTCTTTTTTACAGGGTTAAGCATCTTGCCCAAGGCGACAGAGCCAGCGAGCGGCAGAAGCACGATGCTCCAGGGTCTGTCGTGATGCTCCAGGGTCCATCTGCCCTGGCAGCTCTTTCAGTCTGAAGCCTCTGGCCCTCAGTTTAGGAAATGTTCCTGTGTTGCTTCTGGGATAATCCCCTTATTTGATTTTATCTAATTCTCTTCCCTGAATGCCTATTAGTGGAGAGCTGGAACTCCCAGTCTGATCTTCTGTCTTTGTCTCAGAATCTTCATCTTCATTCTTTTTTTTTTCTTAAAGATTGGCATCTGAGCTAACAACTGTTACCAATCTTTTTTCCCCCCTGCTTTTTCTCCCCAAATCCCCCCAGTACTAGCTGCATATCCTAGTTGTGGGCCCTTCTAGTCGTGGCATGTGGGATGCCGCCTCGATGTGGCCTGACGAGTGGTGCCATGTCCGCGCCCAGGATTCGAACCGGTGAAACCCTGGGCCGCTGAAGCGGAGTGCGCAAACTTAACCACTCGGCCATGGGGCTGGCCCCATCTTCATTCTTTTTACTCTAGTTTCTTGAATTCTCTTTCCCTCTGTTGAACTTCTTGTTGTTGAACTCCACTGTCTTTATTGTTCTCCAAGAACAGCCTAGTCTTGAAGACACTGATTGGAGGGGCTTCTTATTTTTACGGTTCCCTGGGTCCCTGAATAATCTCTCCCTCAGGTCTTCCTTGGAGGTCTTCCTCCCCAGGGTTCACACGCTCCCCTTCCCCTCCTCCTCCTGCTCATCGGTCCCCGTTTCCATCTCCAGGGAAGGCTGCAGCCTCTTGTCTGCTGCTGGCCCCTCCTGTTCCCTTCAAGGCCCTGGGTGCTCTAGGCCCCTTACATCATTTTAATGAGGGTCTCGGGAGGAGAAAAGATAGAAAGTCAGTTGTGTTTTATTTTTAAGAATTTCTTGTTTTGTTTTTTTCCTATAGGTCACACATGCACCTGGCACAAAATTTAAACAGTACAGGAGGTGGATGAAGACCAGCAGAGCCTTCGCTCACCCCATGCCCTAGCTCAAGTGAGTGTTTAAATGGAGACATCCCAGCACACGCTGCACACGACCCCACTCTGTGTTCTTCCCTGGCGTGCATTTTCATTTTTCTAAATCACCACATATAGAGCTGCCTCGTTCAAACAAAACTGCACAGTTTCCCGTCATCTGGATGTACCAGAATTGACTTGACCACCTTCCTACTGAGGGTTTTTTCTCTTACAAACACCCTCCGTTCGTGCACCTATATTTCTTCCTCCTTGGTGCAAGGCCAGTGCCCATGCCCTGAGCAGCTCGCTCCACGCAGTCGCTCAGGCACTCGGCCCCTGCTTCCTGCTGCGCTCGGATCCTGTCTTGTCCGTGTGGTCACGCTGGGTCCCCACTCAAGGACAGGGTAGGGGAGGGCAATCCACGGGGCACTCTCCACTCCGGTCTGTCCACTCTGCTTCCCATGGTGGCCACAGCCGGCTGCAGGGGAGACGCAGGTGCATTTGCAGGTGCCCGGGGAGGGGAGAAGGGCTGGCGCACAGCTCGCAGACCCCTCCACAGAGCTCCCTGTGGTGTTGACCTGCATTTCCTGGTGTCCTGAACCTTTTCATGACTTTAAGGTCAATGTATTTCTTTTGCTGTGAATGTCTGTTCGTCTTTGTTGCTCATTTTTCCATGAGGTCTGTGGTCTTTATACGGGTTTGTTGGTATTCTTATTTACTAAAGAAATTAACCTTTTCTCTAGGACTATAGGTTGCAAATACCCCAGTTTGGTTGTTTTCTCTTCGGATTGTGTTTACATTGTTTTTCTGTTGAAGATGTACTTTATTTTTGTGCACTCAAATTTATTAATCTTTTATTTTCACTTATTTTATTTTATCTCCTGGACTTTTGTGTCATAGTGAGAGAGACCTGCCCCTTATTGAAAATCGCTCATATTTTCATTGCCCACTTCCACTGTCCCCAGTTAGACTCTGGTTTATCTAGAATTTATTTGACTGAAAGGTGTGAGCTGTGGATTCGGTTGATTTCTCAGACGGCGTTGAGTTGTCTCAGCACCACAAGTGGACTAATCTTTTCAAGACGGCCTGAAGTCACTTTTATCTGCAGATTCCGCTGGGAACCTCAGTGAGACGCTGAGCTTTCTAAGATGCTAACTCATCTGCTTCTGGACCAGCACTACCACCACCACCAGGAGGACTTTCAACCAGTATTTGTGTGGCTCTTTTGATTTTTACATGTCTAATAAAAAAATAAGCCGGAAATGTGGATGTTATTTCAGGACCATTTCCCCAGGATGCTTTGCACATCTTTCCATGTAAACCCTCCGAGTCCCTCTGTCTCAGGCCTGTGCCTGCACACCCTCCGAGTCCCTCTGTCTCAGGCCTGTGCCTGCACACCCTCCGAGTCCCTCTGTCTCAGGCCTGTGCCTGCACACCCTCCGAGTCCCTCTGTCTCAGGTCTGTGCCTGCACACCCTCTGATCCCTGTGTCTCAGGTCTCTGCCTTCACACCCTCTGAGTCCCTCTGTCTCAGGCCTGTGCCTGCACACCCTCCGAGTCCCTCTGTCTCAGGCCTGTGCCTGCACGCCCTCCGAGTCCCTGTGTCTCAGGTCTGTGCCTACACACCCTCTGATCCCTGTGTCTCAGGTCTGTGCCTGCACGCCCTCTGATCCCTGTGTCTCAGGTCTGTGCCTGCACGCCCTCTGATCCCTGTGTCTCAGGTCTCTGCCTTCACACCCTCTGAGTCCCTCTGTCTCAGGCCTGTGCCTGCACGCCCTCCGAGTCCCTCTGTCTCAGGCCTGTGCCTGCACACCCTCCGAGTCCCTCTGTCTCAGGTCTGTGCCTGCACGCCCTCTGATCCCTGTGTCTCAGGTCTCTGCCTTCACACCCTCTGAGTCCCTCTGTCTCAGGCCTGTGCCTGCACACCCTCCGAGTCCCTCTGTCTCAGGCCTGTGCCTGCACGCCCTCCGAGTCCCTGTGTCTCAGGCCTGTGCCTGCACACCCTCCGAGTCCCTCTGTCTCAGGCCTGTGCCTGCACACCCTCCGAGTCCCTCTGTCTCAGGCCTGTGCCTGCACGCCCTCTGAGTCCCTCTGTCTCAGGCCTGTGCCTGCACACCCTCCGAGTCCCTGTGTCTCAGGCCTGTGCCTGCACACCCTCCGAGTCCCTCTGTCTCAGGCCTGTGCCTGCACGCCCTCCGAGTCCCTCTGTCTCAGGCCTGTGCCTACACACCCTCCGAGTCCCTCTGTCTCAGGCCTGTGCCTGCACACCCTCTGATCCCTCTGTCTTAGGTCTGTTCCACACACAGGGTGTGCTGCATTTCGCGTTGTCATTCATCCTGACAGTCTCTTTTTTTCATAGGTGAGCTGAGCTGACGTATGGGCATTTACTGATACAAAGTCACAGTTGGTCTTAGTTTTGTTGTCTTATTTCATGTTACAGTTCTGGGTTGTAGTTATTTCTCCTTAAAGAAACTGCTGTGTCTTCCCTCGTGTGCTGTGTGTGTTTCTTAATTTGGAAGCGAGATATTTTGTTTCAGGTGATATTTTTGGTGACAGTTTTCCTTCCCTTCCAGATCACATTTTTCTTTTTCTTCTGCTGTGTGTTTTACTCATTCCTTTCCCTTTATTTCATTTTTGTGGTCTTCCTGTCTCTCTGTATGGATCCTGTGCTCCTTTCTTTCTATTTATGACTAACCCTCAAGTCTGGGGAATCCTCTCCGGACAGCTATGGGAGGAGGGTCACGTGGGGCCCAGGGCCCTGCCCCCTCACCCATCTCCCAGGAGACTGCGGGTGGGAATGAGACCGGGGGTGGGTGTGAGCTGGGGTGGATATGAGGCAGGGTGGGTGTGAGGCGAGGTCTGTCTGAGGCAGGGTGCGCTTGAGGCTGGGGGCATGAGGCCGGGGCATACGTGAAGCAGGAGCAGGTGTGAGGCGGGGTCGGTGTGTATTGGGGATCAGCGTGAGGCAGGGGCTTGCGGGGGGCGTGAGGTGGGGTGCGTGTGAGGTGGGGGGAGGCGTGAGGCGGGGTCAGTGTGTACTGGGGGTGTGCGTGAGGCATGGGTCGTGTGTATTGGGGGTCGGTGTGAGGCTGGAGGAAGCGTGAGGTGGGGTCCGTGTGTATTGGGGGTGCGCACGAGGCGGGGACGTGAGGCGGGGTCGGTGTGATCCTGGAGGAGGCGTGAAGCGGGGTCCGTGTGTACTGGGGGTGCGCGTGAGGTGGGGGTGTGTGCGAGGCAGGGAGCATGAGGAGAGGTCAGTGTGTATTGGGGGTCGTTGTGAGGCTGGGGGAGGCGTGAGGCGGGGTCAGTGTGTATTGGGGGTGCGTGTGAGGTGGGGCACGCGTGTGTCTCCCCCTCTGCCCTGCCAGTGGCCTGTCTGGGCTCAAGCTGTTTCCCTCCTGCCTCTCAGCCCCAGTGCCCACACCCGTGGGTGCGCTTTCCCGGGGCACGTGGCGCTTACCCAGAGGCTTTGACTCCAGCGTCCTGGGGTCTCTGAGTGAGTGTGGGCTCGCCTGTGCTCTGCGGGTGCAGCGCGTTCCCACTGGCGGCAGTCCTGGTGCTCCGTCTCCCTGTGCCCTTCATCTCTAGGTAGGAGGATGCTCTGCAGCCTGAGTAAAACCGCGGCCTCACTAAGGTGCATATCACCACACTGGAAATAGGAAGGGAAGGACAGTCTCTTGCTGACCGAAGGCCGTCCCCACCTGCATGTTTCAGCCCAATGGCTCCACCCGATTGGGAAGAATTGTGCTGACTCCTTGTGCAATTCACTGACGTCTTTTAAAATTAGGTATCACCGCAAATTATTATTCCATGCTCATGGGCAAACGTCACATGTATTAGCGTGTTGTTAACGTGAATGTTTAAGATGCCAGCTGTGCACCATTGGGCACTGTGGTTTTTTTGTAGTTTCCATGTGTTCCAGGACATTCTCTTTAAACAAAATTAAGCACAACACAAGAGGAGCTGCTGGGGTCGAGTGTGGGGGCACTCGTCCACCCTCTGGGCCTCACACCTTCTGGTCCCACCCACCACCCTCTGGGCACAACCCGGTGGAGAAAACATGCCAGGTGTGAACCACGAGCTCGTTCCAAAAGGGTGTCTGTAAGTAGATCTCTCTCTGACAGATGACGACAGAATCCATGGAGGGGGAAGTAGCTCCAATAAGTCCCCGGGTTTAGTGGCGCCTGACGCTGATGTGACTGTGCGGTGGGTGGGTGGGGCACTGATGGAAAAGAAAAGAAATCGAAATTCCAGAGAGAACATGACTGAGTCTCCCCAAGGCCCTGGGCTCTGACCTCCAGCTTCTCTGCATTTTCCCGCAGACGAGCCCATGGTGCAGGCGGTTGGAGATCCTGCAGAGGTTGGGGGAGTGGGCTGGGAACAGCAGTGAGCAAGAGAGATTTCCAAAACCTTAATCAGCATGGTCTCAGTAAAGCCTGGAGGCTGGCCCCTGACCGGAGAGTCCAGTGAGCGTCAGCTGTCAGGGCACTCGCCCAGCGAGGACACACAGGAAGGAATGGAGGACACCGCAGCCCAACCAGCCCCATGCCCTACTCACCTTCCCAGGCCACAGGGTTAGTGACCCTCAGGAATGGATACCCGTCGCCTGCATCTCACTACCTCTGGGAAACAACAGCTTGTCCTCAACTAAAGACCTGATCAAACCTTCAACTTTCATGAACCAAGATGTCTGTGTGTGTCTGCAGAAGAAGGGGATTGTTACCATGGAAACCCAGCACGGATATTTCACCAAGAAATCACAGACACAGAGGCGTACACAGAGGGGACCGTCGGACCAAGAATCGGAATACATGGGGTCCAGCTGTGCTTCTGCTCCAACTGGGCGAACCTTGTAAGATTGAAACGATTTTTTTTCTACTTATCAGATCTAGGTGCTGTTTTGACAACAATCACTTCTAGTTTTAAAGATTAAGCAACCCAAGGGGCCGGCCCTGTGGCTGAGCAGTTAAAGTTCCACACCCTCCACTTCTGTGGCCGGGTTCACAGATTTGGATCCCGGATTCAGACTTGCTCCACTCATTGGCCGTGCTGTGGAGGCATCCCACGTACAAAGTAGAGGAGGATTGGCACAGATGTTAGCTCAGGGCTTATATTCCTCATTAAAACAAAAGAAGAGGATTGGCAATGCATGTTAACTCAGGGCAAATCTTCCTCCCCAAAAATAAAAAAATTAAGTAACCCAAGAGTGTCTCTGGCCCAAAGGTCAGATGGCTGCAGAATGCTTCTCTGATATTTGAGACTCAGTTTTGTCCTGGGAGAAATATGCTTTAAGAACTCACCAACTTACTATTAGTGAAGTGATAACTAGTAGAAAAGAGGTTACAAGGTCTTAGGGGGGAGATGAGGGCCCTATTTTTCACGTAACCATAGCTTATAACTAGAAACCAACATGATTGGGTCTTGTCTGAGGAACGCGCTATCATTTCCAGATCTGAGCTAAGTGATGGCTGTCCAGTGACCCAGGCTCGACCGAGCGCTCTTACTCTAGGAATTGCAAAGCCCTTTGAAAATTCCTCAGGTGGCAACGTGGACCTAAAGATCTTGCCAATAGCTCTTGGTTTTCCAGTGGTGACATGACATAAGGAAGGGCAGTCAACTGGACACTGCAGGCTGTTCTGTCAAGGAAGGCCGCCACCTCTGTTTTCTCCTGGGAAGATGACATCACCAGTGCGTGAAACTAGGAGGAAACAGACGTCAGTTTACCTTATGGTCCTTGACTCTCCTGGTTAGTATCCGTCCACTCTGGACAGCTCAAGCCAGAAGAGGAATCTATAGGGAGATTCCGGATCTGTCATAAACCCAAAGGAAACCGGGCTTCTTGTGGGTCTGAGCCGGCGCCTGGAAAGCACAGGAGCCCACCTGCCTCTGGCTGCAGCTTCTCAGCGCCTCCCTTCCCGTCCTTCAGTCTCCTCTTCCCTGCCTCTGTGCCCACGAGGTGGAAGGTGCCGCCTCATCTCCCGAGGTTTTGTGGGTGCCTTGGCAGCAGCACAGGTGGAGACAGGCTAGCTGAGTCCAAATATGAACTCCAGTTTCTCAAGAGACCATTTATCGATCCAGTCAGGTGGGCCCAGCCGAGGGCGAGGGTGGGGCCTCGTGTGGCAAGAACTTGGCAGCGGGGGGCAGGTCTAGGGAGCTGGGCAGGCACCCCAAAGGTCTCATTTATATAACGCAATGGGAAGAGAGCAGGTGACGAGATCTCTCTGCAGCTCTGGGAAGCCCACGTCCTAAGAGGCCCGGGCCCAGGGAACTGTGTTCCCTCCAGCAGCCCCGTCGACCTCCCCGAGACAGCTTCCTTGCTGAGAGTATGAGACTGGACTGGTGCTAAATCTACCCGTGCCTCTCAGTCACTGCTTTCTGCTTCCACATTGTTCACACAATCGCTTTCACTGATGCAAGTGCTGCTTCATGGGGGAAGGGTGGATGCCAAGCGACTGTGTTGGGGAAGCGGGCGGGGATGGTCTTCGAGGGACAACCAGGACTGGGAGGCTTGCCAGTGTCTTCTGTGGAGGGCGTGGGTGCCATCTGAACTCTACCCCCAGAGTCTGATCCACGTGGGGACCTCCCCTCCCTGCCCCCACTCCCACTGTGAACTCCACTCAGGTGATGCTCACTCGTCACGAAAGGAGTAGTTACATAAACCCAAGTTTAGCCCAAGGGAGGGGGCACGAAAGGGGTGTCATGACAACGTGACTTCATTTGGCAGAATTAGAATCAAAAGGTAAAGTTATGAAAAGGGGAAGTTCAGATCTCTTCAATTTTCCCTGAATCCAAGTTGCTCTAAATTGAATGTGCTTCTCCTGGAGTCTGAACCCTCATCCCTGCAGCTGTTTGTGTCTCAGAGCCTGTGAATCGAGGACAACGGAAGACGACAGCACCCAGCTCCTCCGTCCGTCCTGAGACCCGGGGGCTCTGTTGTGCTCCTCCCTGTGGTCTCACTCGCCTCTGTGACAGGTCTGAGGTGCCGGGTCCCTGCGTCTCCCCTGTGAGGGCGCTGAGGTCCGGATGGGGAGTCACACACCCAGAGACAGAGTCAAGAGGGCGGAGCTGGGGTCCAAGCCTGCGTTCCAGACTCCCAGCCCGGGACTCTGCCGCCTGCCGCCTGCCGCGCTGCGGAGCGAGAGCTCTTCCTGCCGCCAGGTGCCCCGGCACACACTCTGCTTCCATACAATCCCGCCGGTAGAAAGGATGCTGAGCACCAACAAAAAAATAATTTGTTTGGGTCCTGGGTTTATCTTTCCCATCGGTTTTGGTAACTTTGGCCCAAACTCCCAGAAGCATAGTTTGTGTGAGTGGTTTCCCTCTCTGTGGCTTCTGTGAATTTCCAATCTTCCTACCTCCCGGGCCCCTAGTCCCCGCTGCCATGTCTGTAACGCCTCCTCAGTTTAGTCTTGAACTACCAGGCACACACTACAGTTTCCCCCAAGGAAATTCACTTGCAATCTGGTTTTGAGAAGTCAGTAACTTTACTGAGGACTGGGCAGTACACAGCACATGGCCATCCGCCAGCTTCCTGGCTTGCCCTCCGTGTCCTCCGTCTTCTCGACCGCCATCCTCACGGCCCCGTCCACCCGACACAGACCCTTTCAAAGGGTGGACAGACCTTTCACTCCAGCTGCCTTGCTCATGGGCACAGACCCTCAGGCCAATCTGCCCTTCCTGCCTGCCAGGGGTTAGCAATAATAATTAATAATAGTCTCCCTTTCATCATACACTGAAAACAGCTATCTGTTCTGATTTCACAAGGCTGACCTTCCAAAAAATCTCTCTTAAAATTAACCTTGTTGCCATGGCTCAATTTCACCAACTAGACGGATTCGTGCTTCTCAGCTGGGGCCCATCTAGCCCCTACCTCCCCAGGGGCAGTCAGCAACATCTGGGGACATTTGGATGTCGCTCTGGGAGCAGGGGTTACTGCTGGCACTGTGTGTAGAGGCCAGAGTGCTGCGCACCACCCCACAACCACAGGACAGAGAACTGGCTGAGGCTGGAAACCCTGACTGAGGGTCTCTAGTGTTGCCTTGTTGGAAGCTCTTCCGATTAGGCGATAAGCAATCCAATGAGAGCCTGGGAAGGTGGGGAGCGCTGCTCTGACAGATTGCTTTCCGCATAAACTCCGGGGGGATATCTCGCTCTCTGAAACAATGGGGGCTGGGGTGGGCGTGAGGCATCTAGGATGGGACAGACTGAGAAGCTTCTGCACCAGCTGTGCCAGAGCCGAGGCCTCCAGCCACTGAGCTGGGCTGAGAGGAAGCCTCATTCCCAGCCTGCTCCTGTCCCCTGAAAACGTGCAGGGTCAGCGCCCCACGGTGACGAGCCACAGATGAGATGGACCTCCACAGTGGTTCCCGCCCAGGCTGCCAGCCAGCAGGCCGCGCCTCCCCCACGTGGCCTTCACTCCCCTCACGGTTCATCTTCCGACCAGACTGTAGGAGAGGGCATTTGTTTCCATCACATTTTCCCCTTTTTATGAAGGGGAGGATATAGTGCCAAAAATACTCATGAACTGATTCCTCGTTCTTACGATGAGAAAATAGTTTACTCATTTTACAGCTGCGTCTGCATTAAAAGGGCAGCCAGGACGGTGGGGTTGAGCCTGGAGCCTGTCCCTGCCCGGGCTCCCGAAGTGCTGGGCACCTGGAGGCCCCCACAGCACCCATGCAGCTCACAGCACACATGGCCTGTTTAGTTGTGCCCCCCACAGGGCCCGATCTCAAAGGCCCTTGAGACAGAGCCGGCCCAGGGCCCGAGCCACAGCAGAGTCTCCAGGGGTCGGGTCGCACCCCCCCCCACTCCCGGCAGATGGGGCCTGCTGGTCACCCTCCAGTGACTGTTCTCTGCTGACCCCTCTGTTCCACCAGCTCCCCGCTCCCACCCAGGGAATGGCCCTCCCCTACAGGTGACGAGCTTCAGAGACTGCAAGGCTTGAGGACCAAGAACCAGTGAAAACAACAGCTGCTTAAAACAGACAAGGCCAGCCAGGTGGCGCAGTGGTTAAGTGTGCACGTTCCACCTCGGCGGCCCGGGGTTCGCCGGTTCAAACCCCAGGTGCGGACCTGGCACCACTTGGCAAGCCATGCTGTGGTAGGCGTCCCACATATAAAGTAGAGGAAGATGGGCACAGATGTTAGCTCAGGGCCAGGCTTCCTCAAAATAAATAAAAAAATACATAAAACAGACAAACCTCTGAAGGTCCTGCTGCTTCCTACAGCCAGAGAGACACAGGAACGGGGCAGAGACCTGGCAGGACAGGGTGCCTGTCGAATGGACGAGAGCCTCTGCAGGCGGAGCCCCGGCTCTGCATCTCCTCTGGTCACAGCAGACCGTCGCCCTCATCCTCTCTCCACGCGGAGCTGGGAGATCCGGGTGCCACGGCCCTGAGGGGCTGGCTTTGCCCAGGCTTCCAGGAAAAGCCGAGGGAAAATCCAGATCTGCCCTCTACCCGGCCGGCCTGGAGGAGGGGACACACTCGGGGACCCTCCCAGTCAGTCTTCCCGGGAATACTTGGTGGCCCAGAAAGTTCCGGGTTCAGTGGGTTCTCAGTACGTGGTCTCCTGGCCGTGGGTGCAGCAAACAGCCGAGCGCCAGAGAAGAGGGCGCAATTGACAAAACAAAGACACAGCCACAGGACCAGAAGACCCGAGGACTCGGGGCGCACCATCCAGACCCCAGACCCCCAGGAGAGTCTCCTTCATTTTACAAGAGACTCTGTGTCAGGAACGGCTGTGGGGTGCATGTCACTGAGTCTCTCAGCTCCTGGAGACGAGACATGGTGCCAGGGAGGGGTGTGAGCTGGAAATGTGGGATCAAGGCCTCGTTTGCACATCAAATACATTTTTAAAAAACTAACCACACAAATATGATAAAATCCATTTAAAAAAATAAAAATCACTTCATTCCATTTAAACAATTAAAAACAAATTCTCCAGGATGTCTTCTGTGAACAACCCTGATTCCTACCTGTTACAAGAGGAGCAGTTTTGCGTCTGCCTTATTGTGTCATAGTCCTTCCAGTCCTGCTGATGTCAGCTGCACTGTTCTGTCGCACGAAGGTGTATAGAGAGCTTCCCACAGCGGACACAGCAGGTGTATCTCTCCACCCGCGGAGAAGTGAGGAACTCCAACACTCCTCCTTAGTGTGCAGAGCCGCTCCTCTCTTCTGGATTAATTCCCCAAGAGCATCTCCAAGTGGGATTCACAGAGCGAAGTGAGTCTCTTCAGGACTGACATTCTGGAGACAAGGTCAATCAAGTCACTAAGGTGACTTTGACACCAGTGTTCACGGCCGCAGCTGCAAGGCCTTCTCTCCAAAAGACCCAACAACAGATCCAGTCGACGCAAAGAGGCCCTGAGAGGTTCCCAGGGAGGCCCCTGTCGTGTTCCTGAGCTTCGTTCCAAATATAGGGATTCGGAGTTATTTTTGGTTGTTAATTCCTGGCTCAGTCCACTAGCCACATGCTCTGTGTGGCTGCTGTCCATTTATAGCACGGCATACAGTCAAAACCAGAAATTGAAGAAATATTCCTTCTGTGTTGAAAATTTCTGAGGTTCCCTATACCTGCAGAGATATCCAATTGCATTATTGTGTTCCTTCAAACATAGTAACTGTAATTGTCTGATAATCGACTTCTCCAGATCTCAGAGTCTGTCCTGTTCCACATCTCTTGATCTCAGGGTCTGTCCCATCATCCACGTCTCCTGATCTCAGGATCTGTCATCTCCCTGAATCTCCCCTCAAGTTTTGCCAGTTCTGTCCTCGTTGATTCGCTTTTCAAGTGCTCAGACACAGGAGACAGTGGGTGGTCGATGCCTTTGGAGGGAGGGCTGTCTCTTCCTTCCACATCCGTGGCATCATCTGTGCAGTGCGTCCCTAGCAGTTTGACTGTCTGAGTGGTTGTGGCTACCGGGGAATGTGAACTTGAACTGCGGCCACTCTCCCTGTTTTGCCCCTGCTCTGCAGTGACCCCACAGCTGCTTTGGGGGCACAATTCTTCCTTTTCTCTTTTATGAAGGGAAAGAGTCGCCCTGAGCTAACATGTGTTGCCAATCTTCCTCTTTTTTCTTCCTCTCCAAAGCCCCAGTGCAAGGTTGTATATCCTACTGTAAGTCGTTCTAGTTCTTCTACATGAGCCGCCGCCACAGCGTGGCTACCGACAGATGGGTGATGTGGTTCTGCACCCGGGGATGGAACCCAGGCCTTGGAATCCGCTGAAGCGATGAGAGCTGAACTTTAACCCCCAGGCCCTCAGAGCTGGCTCAGGATTCTTCCTGATTCGCCTTTTCCTGAGGGAGCAGCCTCCTGTCAGCCTGCCCAGCCGTCTGTCTCATCACAAAGACCTCACCCTCTGGGGACAGGAGCGCCTGCAGGAGGAGCCCCGTGAGCTGACTCAGCACTCTGATCTCTTTGGCCACACCCTGCACCAGCGCCCTGATGTGTTTAAGGCAAGTCCAGGATTTTTGGTGTTTTCAGTGGGAGGAGAAAGCCAGACCCTCGCTGGGAGGGGGTGGTCCTGTAGTTCAGGCTCTCAAGGGACCCCCTCTGGAGGGCACTGGAGATACTTCACTTTTTCTGTGAATCAATGTTTGTGAGCACATTTGTCCTCCAAATCTGAATGAATCTGAAGTAACTTGAGATTCTTTTTAAACTATTCTGTCCTGCAGAGCAAGAGTGAGATCCATTGCTTTGCTCTGATCTCATTGCTCTGCTTTGATCTCATTGCTCCTGTGGGATGGCAGAGGAACACAAAAACCAAACTGGAACTTAAAGTTACGGTCGCAAGACACAGAAAAAGAATTGTGAGTATTAAGGATTTAATTAATATGTACTATATCACAAATGCTTTATATACGATGTAACAATCAATTATATGTATTGTCCTTCACGTATTCAGGGTGTCTCTTCGTAACATTTCAAGGCATTTCTAATAAACTCAATAGCTGAGTCAATATCCAGCCAAAACACTGATTAAGGTTGGAGCTGAACATACAGATATTATTTGAATAATCAAATCAAAAATAGGCTTTGGTGTTTATTTCTACAGAGTATGAGTAGAAACTGCGTAATAGTAAACATTCAAACCAGCCCAATATAAAAAAAAATCTCTCCTTAAAAGTTCACAAAAAAGGGGCCAACACAGTGGCTGAGAGGTTGGGTTCACACACTCTGCTTCAGCGGCCTGGGGTTTGCAGGTTTGGATCCTGGGCACGGTCCTGCACACACTCGTCAAGCTGAGCTGTGGGGGCGTCCCACATACAAAGTAAAAGATTGGCACAGATGTTAGCTCAGAGACAATCTTCCTCACCAAAAAAAAGAAAAAAATTCACAAAATGCAAAGTGGTGTCATAGATTGGACCTTGGAACAGAAAAGAAGGTTAATGGAAACTAACACTGACACTTACTGTTAAACTGCAGACTTTCCAATTTTCCACTTTTGTGAGTAATACTTCCATGTGTATAAATCCTTGTCAGTGCTTCAGATTATTTTCTCAGAACAGATTCCAAGGAGCTACTGGTTAACTGACTTCTCTGGTCTGATCTTGTTAAGAACCAAGACTTAGTTTGCACCTGGGCAGGTGGGTGCACTGAAGTCCAGACGGTCAGCTGACCATGATCTTTCTGGTTCATGGGGCCATGCCTAAATTTCCCAGAGCTCAGCCATGGGCCTCTGCCATCACAGTAAATCGAATAGCAAGTGTTAATTGAGTGGTCAGTCAGTTAAGGGTTGACACAGACGGTGTTAGGTGCACGGCTGGGACTCACCCGACGTCACTTAGGTGACACATGCATCAATAACAATGTGAGTATCAAACACCATGAGAACCCACATTATTAAAATTAACCTTTAAATATCACTTATTCCACCCAGTTTCTACTTTGCCCTCCATCCATGGTCCATCTGCACAAATGGGAGCAGCCCGGACAGAATGCTGCCTCCACCTCAGTCGATGGGCAGTGAGGCTGAGCATGGCCAAAAGGCCCTCGGAGCGCGTGGAGACTGGCTTCAGGAAAAGGGAGAGACAAGAGCCACACAGAGCCAGCCCCTTGGAGGACCTGCCGGGGAATCGTCTACAACATCAACGCCCTCTTCCCATAGGACATTTATGGAGCCACTGCTGGAGGTCAGGCTTGACCAATGACAACAACCGAGTAAAGGAAGTTAATGGTTTTAACAGAATTCCTCTGAATATGATGTACAGATTTTATAGTCTAAGAAATCTTAATGCAGCCTTATGTCTTAAAGTGCCGGCTGCATTTTTTAGGTAGTAATTCTCACATCTGTCTCCTACTGTACATGCATAGTTTTCTGAAGTTACTGCTTGTGAACAATTCTGAAGTAAAACAAATCAGTTCTTTGAAAAACCCAGACAACTTTTTAACTGTCAATACATCAACAGTTTTACCAACCTGCAAGGTCTTCTGCCAAACTTGTGAAAGTCATCAGAACCAGCTGAGTACGGTGTCCCCTGGCCGCCAGAGCAGGGCCCGAGAGTCATAGTCTGGTTTTGTTCACGTCCCATGTCTCCCAAGTCAGATGCCATTTAAGCTTGGCTCATTCTATTTCAGACTGACCCACCGAGTCGCACTAACGTGCAGAACACGGTCCCTCACAGAATGCCCCTTGTCTATTCTGTATTTACACACAGCTGAACAGTAAGTTCCCATTCGCTAATTCTGTGCTGGAAAGTTCTCTGTAATGATACTGTGATGTAATGAAGACTAGGATTCTGAAATGAAAATAATATCGTTATTTTGTCATTAACCAATTACTCTAATAATGTCATTTCCAAATTTATGCACATGATTTCGACAAAGATGAATGACTCAACAGATATCCTAGCATAATTTTTACTTCATTTTTACCATGGAAAACCCATCTCAACCAGATAAAAACCGTGGAGAGAGGAATGGCTTGAAATGGCTAAAATTTTCTATAACTAATCTTCAAGTCAATCGAAAAAACTTTAATGAAGATCTGCCACCTAAGCTGCAAATAAAAACATTTGGAGTTGTCCAAACTATTACAAATTATTGGATGACAGCACAGAAGAGGTAGTGAAGGAGGATGGGAGGACACGAGAAAGGGGAGGAGGAGGAAGCAAGGAGGAAGGAAGGGAGAGAAGGAGAAAAGTTGGAGGAGAAATCCTTTGAGCTCATCTGTGAGCGCGGAGGAGGCTAGCCGTGGCATCAACACGTCCCGCTACGTGCTGGAGAGCTCCTGAGAAAGCTCCCTCCCCTCTGTGAAGGCCCAGGCTCCGCCTTCCCTCTCCCCAGCTGGTGCCCTGGCAACCGCCACATGACCCAGCAAACACAGCCTTTGGGACTGCACCAGCCTGAGCCGTGCTCCCAAGGGCGCCCTGGTTCTGTCTTCGGGATGCGCAGAGCCCCCAGGCTGACTCCTCCTGGCAGCCAGAGCCAGCAGCATAGCCGGGAGAAAGCCTACCAGGACCACAGGAGGAAGGTAGGAAGGGCAGGCGCCAGAGGCCGAGGCTTCCCCTGGAAACCAAGAGCCAGTCTCCTTTTCAGAGATGGAGTGGTTGAAATGACATTTCCTTAAAAGGTCAGTCATACATGTCTCATACAATAAAAATTCCATTAAATAGATTACGGTGCTCATGTGCCATCCTTTCTCAGTTATGGCATATGTTTATAAAGCACTAGATTTTTCCTAAATGACTCAAAAGTATCTTAAGACAAAAAGATCCAAGGGACTGTTTCCTCTACCAAAACAGCCGACTTTGATCTCCCTTAGGAGATGTGTTATTATTCCCATTTATTTGATGCAAATGTGGACATCCTTCGAAAAGGGCACCAGGTGGTTCTGAAATGGCCTGCCGTGGTCTTCTGCCTGCAAAACCCCAGTGGAGTGAGGAACTCTGTGCTGCATAGGTGGGTGTGTCTCTCCACGTCTGTGTCCATCAAGGTTGAGACGAGCTCCTAAGAAGGGGGCGTTCTGGGAATGGGTGCTGCCTGCGCTGATCTGAAGCAATCCCGCCAGGTTTCTGCGAGACAGCGAGCCCCAGGAATGCCTTCCTTCTCCACCTGGGCTTCTGTCCACCGGGGTCGCAGTGACACTGTGGCCTCAGGGAGGCTTGGGTCACACTTACTGCAAGGCTGGCCCAGTGCCCTCCGCCACCCACCCCGCACACACACACACTTGCGTCCTGGACCCCCTGTCCCCCGTTGTGCACCGTCCCCCGCTGTCACAGGGCTCACTTCTGCAGACCTCCATCCTCCTAGAAGCCTTTTTGGTGCCCCATCTCCTGGAAGCACACCCCACCACGCTCTCTTCCTTTTCTGCTGTTTCATGTCACGGCTTGACGGATGTGAGGTATCCATTATTTACCTTGTTTGTTCCCCGAGTCTGTGAGGGGAGGCCATGTCCTGTCACCGTGATATTCTCAGCACCCAGAGCACGTAGCTTGAGCTTAGTGAAGAGTTGTTGGTGGGGAAAGGTTGAAAGGGAGTGAAGGCAATAAGTATAAATCAATTAGCATGGCCTCTTTGAATAATAGACAAGCATGTAAACACCGTGGGTTTTTTGTTGTTCGTTTTTGTATCCAGGGGTTAGAATGGTCCCTGGTAAGAGACAAGGGGTCAATAAACACCCCCAGTTTAAGTGAGTAACCAGGCTCTGTGCCTAAGACTCTGTAACATAAAGAAGATTTGAAGCCATCATGTGGAAAGTGGAGAGCTGATTGAATAGTGAAAGTCACCGTGTTGACGGTCACAGGGGCCCCAGGAGGTGGGGGCCCTGATGTGTGCAGTTCTGAGATGTCCCAGAAACACACGGTTGCTGGGTCTAAGAGCAGGGTGCTGGAACACCCCAATATGGGCTCAACAGGCATCCTGGTGCCCGGGAACACATGATCCCTGTGTGAGGTGTTAAGGAGAGGGCCACACATCTTACCTGGAAGGAAATGAGGTGAAGACAAGGAGAGAGACTGGGAGACACACAGGGTCAAGGAGTCAGTCTTAGGCACAGTTGACTAAGAAAGCAGAAAAGCAGGGTACTGTGAGGAAGGAATGGACGGTTCCCAAAGGAGTGGTTCCAGGTGAGGACGTGCCTGGAGTCCCGGCAGGGGTTTTCTGGGGAGGAGAGGAGAGGTCAGCACACAAGGAGGCCAGAGAGTGGAGCGTGAGGGAGCGCAGGGCTGTCCCTGTAGTGTAAAACTCATCTGGGAGGAGACAAGACTGTGGTCGGTTGCTAAAGGCCCCAGTGAATAAGGGGCAACGACGCAGCAGGAGGAACGTGAAGAGCAAGGATATGGGTGAGGGCCGCACTGCCCACCTAGAGGCAGTGGCATAGAACCAGCGAGACTCCTTTTTCCACTGCGAATCTCACTGTTTGGCATTAGAACCAAGCCTAGAACCAATTCTTCTTCCATGTTAAGTGTAGGGGAGAGTCAGCTCTTTAGAGCAATTTAGTTTCTTACTGCTTGGCTGAGAGGCCCTGGGAATATAGGGACTTTGATAAAATAGAAGGGAGAAAAAAGACTTGCAGGAGAGGCCGAGCCCAAAGCCAGGTCTGGGACAAGCACCTCGTCCTCACCTGCAGCACGGGGCCTCCTCCCAGACTCTGAGCACCCGCTCATGCTGAAAATAAAGAAATTGCTGCTGAAATTTCCCCAACATAGCAAAATATAAATCTGTCAGTTCTAAGCCAATATCTTAATCAATAGGTAAACACTAAAGGTATCGCCTACAAAGTAAGAAACAAGAGAAGGATCCTCTTACACTCTCTTAACTTGTGCTGTGGTGTTCACCAATGCAGGAGACAAGACAAGTCCACTAGGCATGGAAATGGAAAGAAATTTTTTTTTTCTGTTTGTAGATGAAATGGCTAAATGTCTGGAGAACCCAAAAGAATCCATGGAAAAACAAATATAAATTGGGAAAAATAATTGCAACTCACATCACAAAGGGTTAACATCCTTAAATATAAAGAACTTCTAAAAATAAGAAGAAAAATACAAACAACCCGAGATGAAAACGGGCAAGTGACATGAACGAAAGTTCACAGAAAGAATTGCAAATAGCTCTTAACCTACAAAAAGATTATCAACTCCACTTAGAGAAATGCAAATCAAACTTGCACTCTAATACCATTTCACAACTACCAGATTGGCAAAGAAACCCCAAAATTGTTGGCAGTGCTGTGGAGAAAGAGGGATTGTCATGCAATGCAGATGGGCACACAAAAGGCACAGCCCTTTGGGGGTAATTCAGCAACAGATAATAAAATTACCCACACATCTATCCTTTAGCCCAGCAGTCTCACTTCTAAGTATCCATTCCAAAGGTACACTGGCAAAGATATGAAAAGAAATTGCAAAAATACTAATTGCAGCATTATTTGTAATAGCAAAATTGGAACTAACCCAAATGGCCATCAAAAGTGAGTGTGTGGGGGCCAGCCCTGTGGCCAAGCGGTTGAGTTTGTGTGCTCCGCTTCAGCAACCCAGGGTTTCGCTGGTTCAGATCCTGGGCGAGGAGATGGCACCACTCATCAGGGCATGCTGGGGCAGTGTCCCACTTTGCCACAACTAGAATGACCCACAACCAAAATTTGCAACTATGTACTGGGGGGATTTGGGGAGAAAAAGCAGGAAAAAGAAAAAAAGATTGACAACAGTTGTTAGCTCAGGTGCCAATCTTTAAAAAAAAGCAAGCATGTGAACAAATTAGATGCCTTCACACAATAAAATACTATGCAGCTATGAAAAGGAATAGGGACCATCTATATACACTGCTAAGAAGTTATCGCTAGAATATATTGTGAAGTGGAAAAAGCAACGTGGAGAAAAACGCATAAACATGCTACTTTCATCTAAAAAAGAGGGAATGAAAGTGTGTACACACACATATAAATATATTTACACACACACACATATTATATACATCCTTATATTTTCAGAAATGAAAGGAGTATCTGTGAAATTAGGTTTGCCAACAGGGAACAGGGTGAAGATGGTGGGGGTGGAGCCCAGACCTCCTAGAAAAAGAAGCCTTTCGATGGATTTGACTTTGGAGCCATGGAAACGTTTTACACATGTTATAAAACAAAATTAAATTTAAAGAGCATTCCAAAATATTGACAATAAAATGAACGTCAGCACAGATGCAATTGCTTTTGTACCACGCTGAGAAGAACTATTTCATGTGTCTTTAAAACTCAGTAATTTGTACATTTGTGATGAGATCCCCTAATGACAAAACAACAGCAAAGATAATAATAAACAGCCTGTCTCCAGTAATCACATTCACGACAACAGTGTCGGTGTTACTCTTATGGACTGTTGTGTGTTCAGGGTGGGATAAAGCAAATGAGTGATCCAGTCAGTGTCATCGGGAACTGGGAATGTCAGCTCTGGAGAAAGGAAATGCAGATCAGTGAGAGAACCAAAGGGAACGTGGTCCTGAACTGGAGCCAGAGGGACCAGGCGAGCTCTGTCCACTGCAAACTTGGAAACCACACACTCAGTTGTGATCAAAACTCCTAGCACCTGGATCACGGCCTCCAAATGCCATTCCCGCTGAAAGAACCAGGCTCGCTTGTAGCCATGGCTGATTCCAAGCAGAGCTAGGCTCTGTACGAGTAACCCTGCACCCCTGCCATTCTGGAAGGCAAGGAGGCGATCGAGACCATCAGCACCGCGGAAAAGCCAGCGGGAAGAGGTGTCACTGGCCAAAGACGAGACCAGTTGAACATGGATGAGGAAGTCCGTGCTGAGGGGGTGAACACGTCCAGGAGTCTGAATCTTTGCCTTCCTACTGACACGGAACAGAAACACCTCATCAGCTGCGCCTGGGAGACTCTGAGAACCAACTCACTATTTTGAAAATTCGTGAATAAAGAGAACCAAGTGTGTATCCTGCCAAGGCGAAGTTTATCTTCACAGAAGTGTCCCCGTGAATCAGGGTAGAATGAACGAGGGAACCAGTGTCTAATCAAGTAACGATCAAGACCGTCTACTGCTGCCACCGTCACACAAACAGAGAAGCAGAGACATGTACCTCCTGATAAAGCAGCACAGCCCCACTACGGCATGGTCTCACCGACGAAAAGTTCAACTCTGAATTTCTGCCAGTTTATAGTGTGGGGGACTGGAATTGGCCACCCCAAAATGTGTCTCTTTGGGATGAGGATTGTTTGGGGCTGGTTACTTTTAAAAACTGCAGACATGGGAGAAGCTCTGAAAAGTAGAATTTTACCCTTTGAAAGAGACATTTACATTTGTGAGGGGAAATCTCCACCTGTAAAGGTGTCTCCCTCTCTGTACCAGGAAGAGGGGGATGACCTTATCTCTAAAACTCTTATCAATGCAGAAGGCAAGCACTTAAATCTGCATAGTGACCTGACTCTTGTTTACCGTGCTTTTCTGCTAATCTCCCGTAACCAACTCCCCCCACAACATCCTCCTTTGTCTTGAGCTGAGGATGGTATTTAAGATGATGGTC